GTGGTCTGGAGCGACTCCTTCACCCACCAGCACAAGGAGAGTGATAGTAGGTGGTCTGGAGCAACTCCTTCACCCACCAGCACAAGGAGAGTGATGGTAGGTGGTCACCAGCACCACCTTCACCCACCAGCACAAGGAGAATGATGGTAGGTGGTCATGAGCGACTCCTTCACCCACCAGCACAAGGAGAGTGATGGTAGGTGGTCAGCAGCACCACCTTCATCCACCAGCACAAGGAGAGTGTTGGTAAGTGGTCTGGAGCGACTCCTTCACCCACCAGCACAAGGAGAGTGATAGTAGGTGGTCTGGAGCAACTCCTTCACCCACCAGCACAAGGAGAGTGATGATAGGTGGTCAGCAGCACCACCTTCACCCACCAGCACAAGGAGAATGATGGTAGGTGGTCAGGAGCGACTCCTTCACCCACCAGCACAAGGAGAGTGATGGTAGGTGGTCTGGAGCAACTCCTTCACCCACCAGCACAAGGAGAGTGATGGTAGGTGGTCAGCAGCACCACCTTCACCCACCAGCACAAGGAGAGTGATGGTAGGTGGTCAGGAGCAACTCCTTCACCCACCAGCACAAGGAGAGTGATGGTAGGTGGTCAGCAGCACCACCTTCACCCACCAGCACAAGGAGAGTGATGGTAGGTGGTCAGCAGCACCACCTTCACCCACCAGCACAAGGAGAGTGATGGTAGGTGGTCTGGAGCGACTCCTTCACCCACCAGCACAAGGAGAGTGATGGTAGGTGGTCAGCAGCACCACCTTCACCCACCAGCACAAGGAGAGTGATGGTAAGTGGTCTGGAGCGACTCCTTCACCCACCAGCACAAGGAGAGTGATGGTAGGTGGTCTGGAGCGACTCCTTCACCCACCAGCACAAGGAGAGTGATGGTAGGTGGTCAGCAGCACCACCTTCACCCACCAGCACAAGGACAGTGATGGTAGGTGGTCAGGAGTAACTCCTTCACCCATCAGCACAAGGAGAGTGATGGTAGGTGATCAGCAGCACCACCTTCACCCACCAGCACAAGGAGAGTGATGGTAGGTGGTCAGGAGCGACTCCTTCACCCACCAGCACAAGGAGAGTGATGGTAGGTGATCAGCAGCACCACCTTCACCCACCAGCACAAGGAGAGTGATGGTAGGTGGTCAGGAGCGACTCCTTCACCCACCAGCACAAGGAGAGTGATGGTAGGTGGTCTGGAGCGACTCCTTCACCCACCAGTACAAGGAGAGTGATGGTAGGTGGTCTGGAGCAACTCCTTCACCCACCAGCACAAGGAGAGTGATGGTAGGTGGTCAGGAGCGACTCCTTCACCCACCAGCACAAGGAGAGTGATGGTAGGTGGTCAGCAGCACCACCTTCACCCACCAGCACAAGGAGAGTGATGGTAGGTGGTCAGGAGCGACTCCTTCACCCACCAGCACAAGGAGAGTGATGGTAGGTGGTCAACAGCACCACCTTCACCCACCAGCACAAGGAGAGTGATTGTAGGTGGTCAACAGCACCACCTTCACCCACCAGCACAAGGAGAGTGATGGAAGGTGGTCTGGAGTGACTCCTTCACCCACCAGCACAAGGAGAGTGATGGTAGGTGGTCTGGAGCGACTCCTTCACCCACCAGTACAAGGAGAGTGATGGTAGGTGGTCTGGAGCAACTCCTTCACCCACCAGCACAAGGAAAGTGATGGTAGGTGGTCAGGAGTAACTCCTTCACCCATCAGCACAAGGAGAGTGATGGTAGGTGGTCAGGAGCAACTCCTTCACCCACCAGCACAAGGACAGTGATGGTAGGTGGTCAGGAGTAACTCCTTCACCCATCAGCACAAGGAGAGTGATGGTAGGTGGTCAGGAGCAACTCCTTCACCCACCAGCATAAGGAGAGTGATGGTAGGTGGTCAGCAGCACCTCCTTCACCCACCAGCACAAGGAGAGTGATGGTAAGTGGTCTGGAGCGACTCCTTCACCCACGAGCACAAGGAGAGTGATGGTAGGTGGTCTGGAGCGACTCCTTCACCCACCAGCACAAGGAGAGTGATAGTAGGTGGTCTGGAGCAACTCCTTCACCCACCAGCACAAGGAGAGTGATGGTAGGTGGTCAGCAGCACCACCTTCACCCACCAGCACAAGGAGAATGATGGTAGGTGGTCATGAGCGACTCCTTCACCCACCAGCACAAGGAGAGTGATGGTAGTTGGTCAGCAGCACCACCTTCATCCACCAGCACAAGGAGAGTGTTGGTAAGTGGTCTGGAGCGACTCCTTCACCCACCAGCACAAGGAGAGTGATAGTAGGTGGTCTGGAGCAACTCCTTCACCCACCAGCACAAGGAGAGTGATGATAGGTGGTCAGCAGCACCACCTTCACCCACCAGCACAAGGAGAATGATGGTAGGTGGTCAGGAGCGACTCCTTCACCCACCAGCACAAGGAGAGTGATGGTAGGTGGTCTGTAGCAACTCCTTCACCCACCAGCACAAGGAGAGTGATGGTAGGTGGTCAGCAGCACCACCTTCACCCACCAGCACAAGGAGAGTGATGGTAGGTGGTCAGGAGCAACTCCTTCACCCACCAGCACAAGGAGAGTGATGGTAGGTGGTCAGCAGCACCACCTTCACCCACCAGCACAAGGAGAGTGATGGTAGGTGGTCAGCAGCACCACCTTCACCCACCAGCACAAGGAGAGTGATGGTAGGTGGTCTGGAGCGACTCCTTCACCCACCAGCACAAGGAGAGTGATGGTAGGTGGTCAGCAGCACCACCTTCACCCACCAGCACAAGGAGAGTGATGGTAAGTGGTCTGGAGCGACTCCTTCACCCACCAGCACAAGGAGAGTGATGGTAGGTGGTCTGGAGCGACTCCTTCACCCACCAGCACAAGGAGAGTGATGGTAGGTGGTCAGCAGCACCACCTTCACCCACCAGCACAAGGACAGTGATGGTAGGTGGTCAGGAGTAACTCCTTCACCCACCAGCATAAGGAGAGTGATGGTAGGTGGTCAGCAGCACCTCCTTCACCCACCAGCACAAGGAGAGTGATGGTAAGTGGTCTGGAGCGACTCCTTCACCCACGAGCACAAGGAGAGTGATGGTAGGTGGTCTGGAGCGACTCCTTCACCCACCAGCACAAGGAGAGTGATAGTAGGTGGTCTGGAGCAACTCCTTCACCCACCAGCACAAGGAGAGTGATGGTAGGTGGTCAGCAGCACCACCTTCACCCACCAGCACAAGGAGAATGATGGTAGGTGGTCATGAGCGACTCCTTCACCCACCAGCACAAGGAGAGTGATGGTAGGTGGTCAGCAGCACCACCTTCATCCACCAGCACAAGGAGAGTGTTGGTAAGTGGTCTGGAGCGACTCCTTCACCCACCAGCACAAGGAGAGTGATAGTAGGTGGTCTGGAGCAACTCCTTCACCCACCAGCACAAGGAGAGTGATGATAGGTGGTCAGCAGCACCACCTTCACCCACCAGCACAAGGAGAATGATGGTAGGTGGTCAGGAGCGACTCCTTCACCCACCAGCACAAGGAGAGTGATGGTAGGTGGTCTGGAGCAACTCCTTCACCCACCAGCACAAGGAGAGTGATGGTAGGTGGTCAGCAGCACCACCTTCACCCACCAGCACAAGGAGAGTGATGGTAGGTGGTCAGGAGCAACTCCTTCACCCACCAGCACAAGGAGAGTGATGGTAGGTGGTCAGCAGCACCACCTTCACCCACCAGCACAAGGAGAGTGATGGTAGGGGGTCAGCAGCACCACCTTCACCCACCAGCACAAGGAGAGTGATGGTAGGTGGTCTGGAGCGACTCCTTCACCCACCAGCACAAGGAGAGTGATGGTAGGTGGTCAGCAGCACCACCTTCACCCACCAGCACAAGGAGAGTGATGGTAGGTGGTCTGGAGCGACTCCTTCACCCACCAGCACAAGGAGAGTGATGGTAGGTGGTCTGGAGCGACTCCTTCACCCACCACCGTCCACTGTGATGTGCACTTCTCTTCTGCCTTTTGCATACATAATTATTAAAAGAAATATTCTCATCTTATACAGATCTCAGCATTTGCAAAAAAATAATAATAATAATAATAATAATAATAATAATAATAAACGTATGCTCTGCATATTAATGAAACATTTGCATTTTAGGATTGCTCATGATTTATAGCATTTACTACCAAGCTGCACAATATCAGTGTATTTGCTCGTTTCATCTACAGCCCTAAAAGCTCTTCCTCTTTCCCTGTTCTTCCTTCTCCCTCTCCCACTGGACAAACCTCCTTGATATGTTTACGGTTTCATTTCAATAATTTACAATGTAGAGGAGATGAACTATTAGACAAAAGTGCAAAACGTTTGAAACTTCATTTGAAGACTTTTGCCAGTCACTGGCATTTTCAGTTCACTACAAAAATGATGTAGTAGGGTAGCAGAAGTAATCAGTCCCTCAGCTTGGGAAAACAATATACAGAAGACAGTGGAAAATAAGGTAATTAGCCTCAATATTCTTCTCTTGTTGAGTCTCGCTAAGATGAATCAAGAGTTAGGTACTGAACACCGGCTTCTAGGCTGAGAGACTGAGCAGATCGTCTTTCACTGTTTTCTGTTCAATTTTGAGAGGCTTTGGGAATGATTACCTCACTTTCTGTTGTTTTCATGCATTATCTATGATAGGCGACACGTACTGGAGTGAAGTGTTTATGACAAGCATGGGGAAGGTTAACAGTATTTCGGCAGGAATCATATTGGCACCGAGGATCTTACCCTCTGTGTATCATAAGTCAAGTCATGCAGCATCTGGTGTGACTTACCCTCTATTAGGCTTGAGACATCTGCTTAAGCTGGAGTGTTCTACTTTCAAATTAGCTTGAGGTAGATCCAGGTGAAGATATTAATAAATACCTTAAACAGCGTAGATCAGGTCCTCCTGGAGCAACATACGTGTTTAGCGTGACTTAATAGTTATTGGTCCTGGTGGAGCTGCTGGTGTGACTTACCTTCAACGTGGCTTGAGTCAGGTCCTTGAGGAGCGTAGTGTTAATGGCAGTGGGGGAGGCGTGGTGGGCAGGCCAGTGTTGCAGAAGGTAATGGGTTAGAGGGGAATTTCCATCAAAAGGTGGGGCCCAGGCTAAGGTGACATGACGACTGGTCACTTCCCTCACGTGGACATGACCTGGTGGATCAGGTCGCTCTGCACGAGAGAAAGAGATATGGGATGGTACATAACCTAAGTTGCTATTCCCTCACATGGGCACGATCTGGGGGTCAGGTCATCTTGCACTGTAAAAAAGTGATCTTAAGTACATAAATGTTGGTTTCTTCTCCTAGGTGGATATAACATGGAGAAAGTCATCGAGTCTCTGTGCAGGGGAGAGAATACATGTGCCTACATAACTGTTGGTATATTCTCTCCCTTTGACATAACATAAAAAAGCAACAATTCATCTGTATACAACCCTCAAGAATAATGTAATGTAATTCTTGTAGTAAAGAGTAATGAAAACTTTATACATTTATGCACGGAGATATACTTTTCTCATTATATAGTCAGTTTGTTCTGCATGTAAAGAGAGAATGCATGATAAAACATGACTGCTGACTCTTTCATCAATGACTGGTCAGGCTGCTATGCAGAGGAGAGTGAGGGGAGAACTCTGCAGCTCATGACTGGTCAATTACCTACCCCAAACACTCTTTAGAGTGTTGAACACTGCTCAGTGGCTTTTTGAAAGTGTTATGGTAAAGTCCAAGAAGTATTAGAGGTTCGGATTATCCTTAATTGGACATATTTGAAATATGTGGCATATACCATTAATACGGATCCTATATATGGCATATAAGGAGAAATACAAAAATATGCAACATATACACGAGGGATAGTTGGTTATATATATCATGATTATGAACATAAGAACATAAGAAAGAAGGAACACTGCAACAGGCCTACTGACCCATACGAAGCAGGTCCATGCCACCCCCCCCCCCCCGGCCTAGAACAATGACCACCTAGTCAGCTCACTTCCACTTAAGGAAGGAGCACGGCACCAGACCTAGTAGCCCAAGCTAATCAGGTCCAACTCACACCCACCCTCACCCACTCATGTATTTATCTAACCTATTTTTAAAACTACACAACGTTTTAGCCTCAATAACTGTACTTGGGAGTTTGTTCCACTCATCCACAACTCTATTACCAAACCAGTGCTTTCCTGTATCCTTCCTGAATCTAAACTTTTCCAACTTGAAGCCATTGCTACGAGTCCTATCATGGCTCGATAATTTTCACACGCTATTTACATCCCTTTATTCATTCCTGTTTTCCATTTATACCTCAATCATATCCACCATAATTCTACGTCTTTCCAGAGAGTGCATATTCAGGGCCTTCAGTCTATCCTCATAGGGCAGATTTCTAATACATGGGATCAACTTTGTCATCCTCCTCTGTACGTTTTCCAGTGCATTTATATCCATTCTGTAATGTGGTGACCAGAACTGTGCAGCAACATCTAAATAAGGCCTAACCAAGGATACATAGAGTTGAAGAACAACCTGAGGACTTCTATTATTTATATTTCTTGATATGAAGCCAAGAATTCTGTTAGCTTTATTGCGAACACTAATGCACTGTAGTCTTGGTTTCAGATTACTGCTAACCACAACTCCTAAATCCTTTTCGCAATCAGTAGTATTAAGATCTACACTATTCAGTTTATATGTGGCATGGTTATTGTCCTGTCCAACATTCAGCACTTTGCATTTGTCTATATTAAACTGCATCTGCCACGTCTCCGACCACTGCATCAGTCTATTCAAATCATCCTGAAGTGCACTAATGTCCTCAATAGAATGAACTGGACGGCCTATATTGGTGTCATCAGCAAATTTACTTATGTCGTTATTTATTCCCTCATCTATATCGTTTATGTAAACTGTGAACAAGAAGGGAACCAACACTGACCCCTGTGGAACACCGCTTGTGACGTGCCCCCATTCCGATTTCTCCCCATTTATGCAAACTCTCTGCTGCCTATTTGTCAACCACGCCTCTACCCAGGAGTTTTTTTTTTCCTATTCCGTGTGCCTTAAGTTTCCTCAGAAGTCTCTGATGTGGAACTCTACCGAAGGCCTTACTGAAGTCCATGTACACAATATCATATTCATTACCATGATCTACCTCCTCAAACACCTTAGTGAAAAATGCTAGTAAATTCGGAAGACAGGAACGCCCCTTAGTAAAACCGTGTTGAAATTCATTTTTCAATTTATGCCTATCAAGATGGCTACGAATTGCCTCGGCAATTATTGATTCCATAAATTTTTCCACTATGGAGGTAAGGCTTATTGGTCTATAGTTCGAAGCTAAGGACCTGTCACCTGCCTTGTAAATAGGTATTACATTTGCCATTTTCCACTTATCAGGCACTATGCCAGTTTGTAGAGATATGTTAAAAAGATTAGCCGAAAGTTTGCAAAGTTCCTCTTTACATTCCTTTAACACCCTTGCAAACAGTTCATCAGTGCCTGGGGATTTGTTAGGTTTTAATTTCTCTGTTAGTCTGAGGACCATGTCACAAGTTACTGCAATCGTGCATAGTTTATTATTGTGCTGTTCTACATAATTTATTATTTCGGGAATTTCACTACTATCTTCCTGAGTAAAGACTGAGAGGAAGTAAGAATTGAAAATTTCACACACATATCCCTATCACTGTCAGTGATCTGACCAGAGCTTCTCTTTTGTGCGCCTACCTTGTCTCTAATTTTACTTCTGTATACCTGAAAGAACCCTTTTGGGTTAGTCTTCGAATCCCTTGCGACTTTAGCCTCATAAGCTTTTTCTAATTTTTTTTATTTCTCTCTTTAATTGAATATATTGATTTCTTAACTGCCCATCCCCTCTTTTGATAGGCCTATATATGTCTCTCTTTTAACCTATGAGATGTTTTAATCTATTGTTCATTCATTTGGGATCATTTTTGTTAGATCTAATTTCCCTACTCGGAACAAAAGTTGTCTGGGCAGCTAGAACTATGCTCTGAAAAACGTCATATTGGCAACCAAGATCACCTACCTGACCCATAGTCAGGACATCCCAATTTAGCTCACCCAAGTAATTTTTCAGTCCCAGGAAATCAGCCACTCAAAAGTCTGGAACAGAGACTTGATTGCAGTTATCTGGGTAATTCCATAATATGTTGAAACTAAGTGATTTGTGATCACTTTCCCCAAGCTCATCATTAACCTCAAGATTATTAATTAGAGAATCTTTGTTGGCAAGAACCAAGTCAAGCAGATTGTTTCTTCTAGTTGGTTCTGTCACAAACTGTTTTATAAAAGCAATCCTGAACCGTATCAAGAAATTCACTAGATTCAAGATTTCCTGTCATATTGTTCCAATCAATTTGTTTAAAATTAAAATCTCATATTAACACAACATTTTCATATCTAGATGCCTTATGAATTTCGTCCCGTAACAGCTTACTGCACTCCCTATCAAGGTTTGGGGCCCTGTAAATCACACCCAAAATTAATATGTAACTACCCTCGAGAAACTGTAGCCAAAAAGATTCTGTGTCCTATGTTTCTTATCTTACATCATGTCTAACACAATTTAAATTATCTCTGACATACATCGTTCTCCACCACCCTTCCTGTTGACCCTATCAGTGTGGAATAGTTTATAACCCTGTATGTTGCATTCAGAAGGCATTTCTCTATCTTTCAAGTTGAACTAGGTCTCTGTTATACCAATAATATCTATATTACCTACACTTGCAAGTAATCTTAGCTCATCTATCTTGTTTCTTAGACACCTACTATTTGTATAGTAAACCTTAAGGGAGCTAGTCACTCGTTGCCCTCTACTGTCTCTCTTTGTTTGTTGATCAATTGATTTGCCATTACTAGCAACTTTATTTTGAATATTGTCTTTTAAACATATCCCTGAGGCATCCCAGTAATAACTGCTGTTTTTAACCCTAATACTGCAGCCTGATTGTTTCCCACAAACACCCATACCTCTATAATCTATCAGTGGGAGCAGTGGTATACCATGATGATGGATGTAGTGGTATACCATGATGATGGGTGTAATGGTATACCATGAGCACGTATCAAATATAAATAATATATACGTTGTGGAGGGATCCACAGATATAAGAAGGATAACAATTGGAGGACAAAGGAAAATATTAAAATATACCACATGAATGGTCAGGGGGATACATGAACAGCTAGGACAATCCAGGGGTATATTACAAATACAACGAGGACGGTTTGTGTATATACCAGAATACGGGGACGGTTTGTGTATATACCAGAATAATACGAGGACGGTCTGTGTATATACCAGAATAATACGAGGACGGTCCGTGTATATAATAGAATAACACGAGGACGGTTTGTGCATATACCAGAATAACACGAGGACGGTCTGTGTATATACCAGAATAATACGAGGACGGTTTTTGTATATACCAGAATAACGCGAGGACCGTCTGTGTATATACCAGAATACGAGGACGGTCCGTGTGTATACTAGAATAACACGAGGACGGTTTGTGCATATACAAGAATTACACGAGGACGGTCTGTGTATCTCCCAGAATAATACGAAGACGGTCCGTGTATATACCAGAATAACACGAGGACGGTCTGCGTATATACCAGAATAATACGAGGACGGTCCGTGCATATACCAGAATAATACGAGGACGGTTTTTGTATATACCAGAATAACGCGAGGACGGTCTGTGTATATACCAGAATACGAGGACGGTCCGTGTGTATACTAGAATAACACGAGGACGGTTTGTGCATATACCAGAATAACACGAGGACGGTCTGTGTATATCCCAGAATAATACGAGGACGGTCCGTGTATATACCAGAATAACACGAGGACGGTCTGCGTATATACCAGAATAATACGAGGACGGTCCGTGTATATACCAGAATAATACGAGGACGGTTTTTGTATATACCAAAATAACGCGAGGACGGTCTGTGTATATACCAGAATACGAGGACGGTCCGTGTGTATACTAGAATAACAAGAGGACGGTTTGTGCATATACCAGAATAACACGAGGACGGTCTGTGTATCTCCCAGAATAATACGAGGACGGTCCGTGTATATACCAGAATAACACGAGGACGGTTTGTGTATATACCAGAACAATACGAGGA